TGATTATTTGCAGGCTATTTTTTCAGTTGAAAATTACTAGAATTAGAAAAGTTTCTGCTTCATGGCACACCTTCTCCTTTGATCCTGAAAGCTGGTGGTTTCCCTCAAGCTGCATAAATATAGAATTGCATTGACTCGTTCTGTAGACACCAAACAACTCTCAATGAGGCAGGGACAGGTTTGTCATAGAAAATAGAAAGATGGTGTCTCCTTGCTAGAATGGGAGGCCATTACGCTAATTAAAATCTCTCTCAGAACTTGTCAATTCAAAGCATCCTTTCGCGCTGCACTGAAAAGCAGTGCTCATCCCCTAATCATTTTACATGGGGCAAGATTTGGGGACTATCTTTGGCAAAAAGGAGAGCTGGAGGGTGGGAGGGTGGATGGTGGATGGTGGGGGTTGGGTGGAGAATGCTTGTACCACCTTTTTGAATTCCTGCAGGGTACTTACCAATTGAGAATGAGCATATCTTTATCAACTCTTGCTATTTCCCCAATCCAATTGAATAGTTTTGTTATCCAATGCCGTTAATAACCTAAAATCCTCTAAAGCTTGTGTTAACTCCGTGTAAGGTAACAGGTTAATAACTTATAGTAAATAGTTTGTTCCTTTTGTAAAGTGTACAGACTCATTATCAGTATAGGAAGGGTTAACATAGGTCCTGTATTTTTATCAATTCAAGATCTTATGGGATATTCTATTTCATGGAAAAAACATAACCTGTTTTGCTCAATTTAATTATGTCACTGCTGCAGATGAAAAAGTATTTGTGTATGTAGGACAACATACAATTAAATATGTAGCCTCTGCAAGGTTAATTTCTCAGACCACCATTTTGTCAAAACTAATTTATTATGAAGGTTGTATTTTTGTTTCTATGTAAACTGTACGGCCAATGAAGATAAGCCCCTGCCAATTAGTACCCACTAGGTTGCTAGGTCACCATGGTCAATTGAAGAACACATCAATAGAACTTGAAAAGGTTTCTCCACGATCAGACCTTCTGACATATTAAGTAGAATAATGGAATAGAAGGCCCCTTGCTAGATTCAAATTACTCTGCGGTAAGAATTCATTTGTAACCTGCAATTAACTGGAAAGAATGGAGCCAGAGAAATTCTGTGCATGAACTGAAAATAAGGACTCTCCATCCTTTATGGTTATATGTTTGGCATTGAATGTTTGAAAGAATCCTTCAAGTTCCTTAGCATTTCCATAGCATAACTGCCATATCTCTGAATGTATTTTAATGCGTTTAACCTTGAATGTGTTATGCACCCTAATATATGCTGTACAGTATTTTTCTGTTCTTCAGGTAGCCTTTTAAACTATTGTGTACATTAATACCAACTGAATAGATGGCAGAACAACCAGACCTAGAATAGATGGAGAGACAAAAGGGTTTACCAAAAGATACAGATAGATACAGAGGCTGAAAGTGTCTACAATCCATCAGTTATATTTAAGGCCAGGCACCATAGGCTGAAATTACATTTTTGGATCTACCTATTGAGATTTGTTGGTATTTTGGTCCATTAATATTAGTATTTTCAAAAAGTAAACATACAAATATCAAAATCTTCATGAAAATGTATATTGTCTATAGTTGATCATACTACCCTCATCAACATTTTAATGAATTTTAACCACTGTAAAACGGACATGCATCAATAATTTCAAAGCTCACTACATTAAATTACACAATTTAAAAGGCAATTTCATAGAGTGCTACAAACTGGACTATATTTAGTAACTTACTTTGAAGAGATGGTAATTGGGTCTAAATACGCGTTTTGTGTTTGGTAGTCTAAATTCAGACTTCCCAAACGCCAACTCCTTTTTCTCAGCTTCAGAAGCATCTGCATTCACCAAATGTTGTGTGGTTAACCTTATATATATTCCTCAGACTTGCCCAGAGGGAATTGTTCATTTGTTGTCCATTTTTTATTATAGATAACAATGTCTTTGGAAAAGTGCGTCAACAACGTATTTTACATACATGTCTTTAGTGTTTTACAGATAGAAAGATTAAACAATTATTCATCCACAATCTGCTCTGTACTAGTCCGGTCCTGGAGTGTCTTAACAAAATGAAACCAAAATATTTAGACTGACTTCATCCAATGTCCAGAAAAATTGATTTGTGTGATAGACAATTATGCGCATATTTGAAGATGCACTACGCAGAAATCGCTCTGCCATTTCATCTTGTAAAGATTCTAACAGTACGCCTAATTTCAGTTTATGTGACAAAACAAGCTAGTATATTGTAGAGCAGCGTTTCCCAAACTCGGTCCTGGGGCCCCTCTCTTGGATGCAAGTTTTGGTCTTTGCCCTAGCACTACACAGCTGATTCAAATTAACAAAGCTTGATGATGACCGAGTTTGGGAATCCCTGGTGTAGAGAATCATTGTACCATCTAAACCACTGTGAAATATATTTTCCATAACCAAAAACATTTTTCAGCTGTTTGAAGCTGGTGTACAAAACTGAAAGTAAAAGATGCAAAAACTAAACTTAACTAAAACATAAGGACAATAATTCAGTTAATTAGTTCCCCCATGGAAAGTTTTGCTAAGAATAATTCAACCAAACCCACAATATGGAAAACATTGAGTTCAGGAAAACAACTAATGCAGCATGTGTGCCTTCATTTTGAACCTCATATCAAACCTCTCCAAATATTATAAAACATTTTTTAAATATTTTTTTCCTACTAGAACTCTCCACCCAGGAGTCTGTATTTTGGATGATTGCATTTACATAGAGCTGTATGGGAGGGGAATGCAGTGAGGTGATGCAGAGACGGCAATAGGCCTTTATCATCATCATCCTAGGGTATCATCATAACTGTTATTGAGATGCAATTTTCAAACCTGTTTAAATGGCCAATGGATATGTTGCGGTTGCAATGGCCTATTATCAGGTGTCCAGTACAAATCATGGTGAAGACCAGACAGACTACAGGAAGAGACAGATACCAACTTGTGATATAAATGTTTTGGAGAGTGTTATACAAATATTTAAGAGGTGGTTACTTAATGCCATCCTTATGATAGATTGCCTTATCAAAGAGGGTTTGGATTTCTCAGACAGTTTTAGAAGGGCCCCTCAACATTGTTATAATAATTGTGCATTATTTGATGTCTATGAAAAGAATCCATGCAACTACAACAGAAGTTATATTATTTATTTTTTGATTTATTTTGGGAAATCCATATTTTAAAGAAATACAGTCAAATGTGAAAAATATTCTCTGTCACAGATTCTTTTATCATATATTAGTGTTAGTAAATTCAGATTTTCAGATAAAGTTGTGATGTAAAAAAGCTAGAGTAGAAGGGTTATTATTATGGTAATAATGTAATTAAGAGAGATCTGGTACTATAGTGATGGGGGTGATGGGGGGGGGGGGGGGGGGGGGGGGGACTGAATAAAAGTCAAATGCAGTGAAGTACTGGATGAGTCAGTGTGATACATTTTGGACCGTTAGAATAGGAAACATTCTACCACTATAGTAGGCCTTATCATAACAAAACAAAAAACAAAAAACATTTGGTATAGCCATACAGATGCAATAGTGTAGCGATGCACATTGATGAAATAGCTTTCTTTGACAAGAGACATATCCTGACATTTCATTAGTGTTTTTGGTGTTGCATTTACTCTTACTTTACTGTCATGCATCCTTTATTAGGCTATATTAACTACGTCCATTTCTTGAATGTCAGCGCATAAGGTCTAAATGCTGCTGTAATATTATTTGCGTAATGAGAAACATGTTTTTCAAAATGTGCATTATGAACTACAAACGTTATTACAAATTGATCTATATTATATTCAATAAATTGCCATAATAATACTAATACTAATAATAACAATAATAATAGTAATAATAATGCCACAATCATAGTTTGAATGATAGGCAAACTGAAAACATTTTACGTTGATTTGATTATTATTGTATATGAGAGGTGGCTTTATTAGAAATAGAAATTGTCTAAGAAATAATTGTCTAAGAACTAATACAACTCTGTGTTGATCAGTCTATTCTTATAGCTTTGGAATCACACTATTACTATATTGAAAACATATAGAACTTGTGTTTCAGTGTTTATATTCTAACGAATGTGCCAAAATGTATGTTATCCTAAAACAATTTTTTTATGGATCATATTTTTAATAGGGTATAATATTTCTCAGTGTATTGGTCCGCCTACATCTGCGATTCCTCTACAAAATCACCTGTGAACAATGCTGGCTACCCCATCGACCTTGCGTTCCAACTCAATTTGGTCTCAATCACACAATAATGAAAACGCACTCCAACCAAGATCCTTATAAAAAGTAATTCGCCAGGAATAGCTCGCACTTCAAGTGATTTATTGTTAACGTTCAATTGGTTTGAAACATATACAGCAGCCATCACGCATTTGTTCGTTTTGACAAAAGAATAAAGAAAACAAAAAAGTCGACTTAAAACAAGCATACAGGTAAACGCATTCTCGTGTGTTAGCCAAATATACAGTTCCTACTTTCTTTAAGTCTAAATTAATACATTAGTTTACAATATTAATAGCATCAAATACCAGGTTATCACCGCAAAGAAGTGGTGGTTTAGTACCTTGAGAGAGTTCATACCTGATCCCACCTATCTCACTTTTCCCTCCAGTCCCCCTAATGTGGAGCAGCATTCCCGTTCAACAACATAGACAACGTTAACATTATGAGGAAGTCCATCACATTGATTACAAAAGGTACAGAAACGACACAATCTATTTCATGGGTTGCCACTTCGTTTAATGTTCAAAAATAGTCTCCCTCTCAGAAATGTCAAGAAAATGTGCCCTGACCAGCTGGTGCGCTTGAGCGCGTTGTTCTCTCAGCCACAAAGGACTCCATTTTCGCACAGTTGTGTATATCAACATGATATATGTCTCGTTTTCTCTTGGGCTCGTCCGCAGGTTAACATATAAAAATTGTAAATGACAGTAGGTCCTACCAAGTTCTGCCGTAGAGTAGGTTGGAGCTGACCATGTTATTAGTGTAGTCTATAACAGAAGTGTCTATTTGCGCCATGTTGATCTGACTGTGGAGTGAAGGAGGGCTAGGTGACATCTCCTCCAGGTCTTGGGCCTGAACTAAGGAGTTGACCTGATGGTTTTGGTGTTGATTGATGGCATTACTGGAAGCGGGGAGCACAACCCCAGAGCCGTTCTGTTGCTGCTGCTGTTGTTGTTGCTGCTGTACCTGCTGCTGGTTCGGCGTTGGTGTGTTGGAGCCGTTCTGACATGGTTTACCGTCCTTCACCAGAACAGGCACGGCCACGCGCCTCGGAGACTGTTGTTGTTGACACAGGTTGCTGTCCTGCTGCAGCAGCTGCGCCGCTTTGTCCTTGGCCTGCCGCTTCATCTTGTACCTGTGGTTCTGGAACCAGATCTTGACCTGGGTCGGCGTCAGGTGGATCATACTGGCCAGGTGTTCCCGCTCTGGCGCTGAGAGGTATTTCTGTTGTTTGAATCTCCTCTCTAGCTCGTACACCTGAGCCTGGGAGAAGAGTACCCGTCGTTTCCTCCTGGGCGCTGCGTGCAGGGGTGGCATGGACTTGGAGGCGTCCCCCATGCCTGTTAGGTTCCCCATTCCAGTCATGTTCATACCTGTGGAAGGTCCCATGAATCTAGAAACTTAAAAATATACATACATATACGCACATTCAATATTCAGCAATGCAAATGTGTCGGTTTGTTGGCCTGAAGTAGTTTGCAATGGTCTGTATGCCGTGCGTAATTGGCCAAATATAGGTTACTCAACAAGCTCTCACAGTCTCACCTCAGAATTAAACGTTCATCCACGTATCTGAGGTCACTAGGCAGCTTTAATGAGCAAGTTTATTTAATTCCAATAATAATAATATATAAATATTTTGTGAAATAAAATGAAAACAGACTTTTTTCGATATTCGAAAATGGTGTAATGTCAGACTAGTCTAGGCTACTCAGTGATGGTGAGTAGTGTGTTATTGGTTCATCTGTCCGCGTTTCGTTAAAAGTTTGGTGACAGTGAAATAAAACAAGTCACCAAACAATAAAAATCTAAATCTAAAAAACGACTTACTTGTTGAATATCTTGGATCCGTGTTCGCGCCATACCACCCTGTGGCTGCTGCGTTATTTCTCATGGTTTCCTGGTACGACGGAAGGTCTCCCATGTTGCCAATGCTCCCATTGCAGTACCCACCCATGGCGCTGTGCGAGAACTGGGAGACAGTGTGTGGCATGTGGTAGGTGGTCGCCACGCTGGCGTTGTGGCCCATGGAGTGCTGTTGCATGCCAGTCTGGGACACCTGAGGCTGTCGGTAAGCTCCCAGTGGAGAGGTTAGGTTCCCTGAGCCGTCCATTCCACTAAACTTCTTGTAGGTCTCCTCGATAGGACTCAAAATATCAGTCACTGAGAAAGGCGTTGTATGCTTTGGGCTCAACGACATGGTTCAGAAAGCAGGTAGATTTTGTTGAGCAGATCAACCGTGTTGTTGTATCAGCTCTCTCCTTGTGGATGGCTACGTAAGTGAGTGCTTGTAGTACGCCTGCGATCCGATTGATCGCCTTGGAGAAGGAGGCGAGCCCTGGGCGCTCATAGCTCGGGTTTATTGTAGCCAGCAGCCAGGTTTACGACAAACACAGGGGGCGGAGCAACGTCCTAAATGAGCAAACAATAGTCATTGACATTTTAGTAAGATAAGGAAAATGTTGTTACTTTTGTATTAAGGTGAACATTATGCCAAATCAAATCGGTGTATTTATTTTTCTAACATATCATTTATGGGATGAGACATTGTTATTTGTCCACATGTCTTTCCATAATAAAGTTCTGCACAACAGCTGAGTGCATATAGGATACGTGCAATGTTGTTCTGCGTCAATAGGGAATTCCATACTTTTTAGAAACTTTGAGAGCACTTTACCCAGACATAAGCGCCACCGAGCATCGCTAAAGAGGTACAATGGTTCTCCTCAATTTTATGACCACGTAATGTATGCGTCTTAAGTATCATTTTGTTCCACCAGAGAGGGGCACTTCCAAATTAGCTCAAAGTAATACAATCCTGAGAGGGAAAAATGAGGATAGGGATCCTAACTTTATAAACAGTATATTGACATTAGATAAATAGAATATTAGAAATACTTGAAGATCTACCCGAGAATAGGCTAGCCTACATGTTGTTTCCACCTGTGTTCTTGCAGACAATAGATCTGACAAAGTTGTATTGCTTTTCCCGAATGGACAAAATCTGACTTTGCAGAGTGCAGAAATTTAACAGTAATCAGTAAGTTTTTGTGTATTTCGAGTTGACAGATATCAATGAAAGTAAAATAAAACACTGGATTTAATATTCTGAAAACACAAGTGTTTCTGCGTATGCATTGCTTTTAATAGATTATAATAATTTGATCATGTTTCATTGGAATTCAAATTCACATGATGATAACTGATGATATGCAACAACATCCTTACACGGCACTCAACCACCTGACTCAGCTTTAATCAACCTGGGGCATTGTGGACACTTGGATAGGTTTGTCGATGTGAGCATAAGCCCACTGCGTGACCTGGCATCTTAATCTTTGTGTAAACTTCCAGGCGCCAGAGGCAGGAACATCAGATAAGACGAACAAGAAAAGGGCTTTTGAATCGACAAAACAATTAGCCATGAAATGTAACGGTATTACTATGCTATTATTATTAATTTATCATGATTCCTATATTTATTTTACAGTTCATCAACTGCAGTGGCATGATCTTTGTTTTATCAAGGCTAATCGATTAAGTTTTTAGAAAATATTTGACCATAACTAAAACGTTGAATCAGTGACTTAAGACAAGAGACAATGGGAAATTATTGTTATGATGAAGAAGATAAAGATGGTGGTGGTGATTGTTGTGATGATTTAGACTTATTGACATCGTTTTTGTTCTTATTAGGCTAATGTTATAACTGGACAAAACACAGGACTATAGCTACCTGTATAGATATTGAGCTCATAAAGGTAGGCCTATCCGTTTCCAAGCAATGCTAAAATACTCAGACATAGGCACTGTTGAGGTCTACATTTTTGACTAATGGGGCTTTCTTTATTGGTGATATATTTGTATTAATTCTTCATGCAATAATTACGGCTTTACTCTCAGGTGGTATCAATTTCTCACATTCTTGACCAAAGTGTAATTTAGGGTGACCAGAACTCACTAAAACAAATAAAAATATCCATAACCCAAAGCACCAATGTTATCATATATGGTGGCATATTTCCCTTTGTTGAAGAGGGAAAATAATGGTCTAAACTCACACCATAATTTGATTTAGTATGACACGTCAGTAAGTAGGCTATCCTAATCGCGCAAATGAAGATGCGGCATGGTCAGCCATCAATTACTGGCAACGCAACACCAATCTCCGTTTAAGATGTTCATTATGAATAATAAATCATTGTTGTTATGCAATTTAATTCAGTAAATATTTAGGTTCTCACTTGCATCCTTCAATTACTCACAAACCCTTCTCATCGCATTTATCCAACGGAGTGTGTGGATTTTGTATAGGTTCGGAGGCATAATACAGGAGACAAGCTAATTCACGGCACTCAAAAGTCAGTAGCATTATGCATAAAGTTAACCTCACGTCAGAGTAAATATCGTACCAAGACCATATGGTAATTTATTTTGTTTGAAAAGTTTATTGCAATTCAACTGCAAAACACAATACTACACGTGTTTTTACTTTTCTATTTCAGTTAAACCTCAATTCACCTGCTTTTATCAATATACTGTAAACATGATCCACCTAAGTACAGTATGTGATCTTACCTGCGAAGGCCATCAAACAAACCAACTCTGTGAGCCACCTCCACGCTTTTGGCTATGCGCTAGGGCTCGTGGTGGGTTTTTGGGAACATGGGAAAGGTAGGCCACAGTCATAGCATCTCTAACGTTATGTAAATGAGGCAAACCTCTCAACCTTCTGGATTATTGAGTCAGAGAGCACGACCGGGTCCAGAGACCCTCCACATTGGAAAAGCACTAAAATCTCGCGCCGGTTGGCTGCACAGTTTAGAGTAATAGTTTTGATGCGTAGACGCTTGTCTTGTGGCCTATACATTACAACTTGTAGAGCTTGTGCACATGAAATTATAAGAGGCCTCTCTTCGACAGCAAGATATTTGGACGTGCGGGGAAGGAAATACCTAGGCCTCTAGAAGGTTTGTCAGATTTATATTTGAATGGGTTTATTGGTGCAAGTTTGAAATGGAATAGATATAGACCTGCCACTGTTATTCAGATTACATTGTAATTACATTACAGCCTATATTGTGCTTGTCTGTTATTATTGCTTGTAGTCTATTTGCTATTTAGCTTTGAAATATATTATATTTAATGTATAACTCAAATAATAAATACATGATAAATCACCCCAAGATTGCTAACTTCAAAAAAGTAAAAATGTAGGCCTATCCTATTGACTTTCCACATAGGAGTTAAAGGCTTGCCCTCCGATTTTGAGATGTATTGTCCATAGACTTTGAATCACCAATTTAATGCAGGAAATACAATTTAAATATCAAATCTTATCAGGTACATATACACCAAACACTATTTTGTCTTGGTGTCATAGTATCGTTTGCGACGGTGAAGTTGTGTATTGTCCCTCGAAGATGAATAGGTTATGAGTTTTTCTCTGGGTTTTCCCAGCGCGTTTTCTCCAATTGCTTTCTTTTTTTTCCTGCTAAATGTATAGCACATTGTTAAACCTACTTGTTAACAGGGGACAATTAATAAGCTTTGCTCATAATATATTTGAAACTATGCACTAAATATAACTTTAATTTGACAGAAAACGTAATTTTCTAATTTGTTATCACACAGTTATAATATTGAAATGTCAGTCTTTTATTATTTATTGAAACTAATATCAAATTAGGGTATGGAACAATGTTGTTCGCGACCTGTATGATAGTCTTATGACCGAACAATCTTGTTTATTTGGGCCTATTTGTAATTAGATTGTGTCCGGATTAACCAGCTCGATCAATAGATCACGTCCTCCTTATGCATATGCATGCGCTCTAGGGCCTGTAATGCGATATTATTGTGGATGTGTAGACTACCACTATGGTCCAAGGCTACAATTATTGTATTATAAGGGTCTAATGACAAACAAGGATTTCATTTAAAAAACACATTACGATTCTTTCAAGGACACATATCTTGCTTCTGTGTTAAATGTCCGGAATTGAATGGTCATCATATAATAACCTGGATGGCCACCACTCAGGCGTCAGAAGCATGCGGTTGGGCCTGATGGCTAGGCTAACATTTAGCTCCAGGCTATTTCTCTCCACACTGCTGGGCGCACTGATGTCAATGTTATTGCTATTTTGTTTCATTAATGAATTGTTATCTTGTCAAACATAAACACCAAAGCATTATTTGACGATTTAATCATAAATGGGCGATACTTTTATATTCAAAACAGCCCCTCCCCCACTGACACTGGCTGCGGTATACAGCAGCAGCACAGCAGATGGACCTGAGCGCGTGGTCACTGAAGTGCTTTCTCCATCACTGCGCGTTGGTTCAATAACCTGAGAGAGATTTGGAGAGATCAGTGAAGGGCTGGAGCGCTCGGTGTAAGAGCCGGGGTCCTGACCTACCACCTCAAAGATACACCGGCGGAACAAACCCACTCTGCACACTCTGGTTGAATCAACGTTGTTTCCACGTCATTTCAATGAAATGATGTGGAACCAACGTGGAATAGACGTTGAATTGACTTCTGTGAACAGTGGGAAGTGACTGCTGCTGGGAATCAATAGACGAGACATTGCACTACTGGTCAATGTGCTATGTTGGTAGACTGATGTCAAATGTTGTAGCCCCTTTACCGTGTATGATGCTTAAAATCACATAAACTCAGGGTCTAAAAGGATCTAAAATGGAAACTATCCGAGGATCAGAGTTTACCTGTAAATGCGTTTAGGACGCACCGCTACACGCGGCTATTACTCATGTTTTTGCTAATGTTTTCTGCTGCATTATGCCTTTAACTGTATATTCCATGTTTTTTTTAAACAGCCAGCCAAAACTAAATTCCAACCATACCATAATGGCACACATTGTATAAATTGTACAAACATATCTGGTGCCAATTTTGCCAAAGATCTGTTGTTTTGGCCAAATCACCTGAAGAAGTCCAGCATACGTGTGATCCTCTTTGTTTAGTCAATTAAAATACATTTACATATATTAGTATTATAGGCCTACTAATTTACACGTTAGTCTTATTTTAGGACTTTCTCCATGTCCAAATGAATAATTGTTGATGACTGAAGTTGCCTGTTGGTCCCATAACGTCACACTTGAAGAAGGATATTAATGTATCTAAATAGATAAACGCACACCCCGTGATTGACTGATTGATTTTACAAGCAG